GAAAAAAGCATGTAAGTGCAGATCTTCAGATGGCTATGGATGTTCTTATAGCTTGGTTATATAAATGATGAGTAGTGCTTCTGCTCCTTGCACCTTCATCTGAATTTGGATGCCTGGTGCACTAGTGATGTCAGGTCAGAGCCTGCTCCAGCTTTCAGACATGGGGCATGTGAGTCTGCGTGCTTGTGTGCTGCCACACGCTGAGGAAAGACTTCACAGCCATCTTGGCTATAAAAGTGAGTCTGCTTGAAGCACTAACAGCTGGCCATCCCCAAACAACACGGCAGAGAGAGAAATGAGGGTATTACTGCAGAATTACCTCCATAGAGAGCAGATAAGTGGTACCTAATCAGGCAATTTTACTGAAGGCTTGTCACATGCTCAGAGATGGGCTTCCTGGAATGGCGGGACGTTGTGTTCCCTCTAGTCGTTGTCCAGATAAAACTGTGGCAGCCTGGTGTTGTAAATAGCTGTTTCTTCTCCTGGTATCAGGGTGGATTGCCCAACACATCTCATTATCGGCTCGCTGATAGCACTTGAGCTGTTGCTGGGCCTTCTTCTGGCTATTTGGGAGAGCTGCAGCCTCTCGGTAACCTCTCATGTCGTTCATGTGGTGCATTTCAGAAAGAGCTCGTTCACCTCTCAGTAGCAGTGGTTTTTCTCCAAGCTGTCATTTCAGAGTGGCAGTTTCTTTTGGACTTGTTGGGGTTTGAGTGAAGAGCGCTTCTTGGGCAATTGCCATTCAAGAAGGTTTTAGCTTCTTTGTTGATCTGTGCTCCAAGTATCTCCACATAATGTCTCCTTTTCCAGCATGCTGGTGTGGACCTGTGTTGTAAGATGGACTGTATCCTTCTGACTACCAAGTCAAGACTTTCCTGTTGTTCTTCTCCATGGTCAGTGAGAATCCTATTTAGGTTTGAAAAGAAGGCATTCTGTCTCCTGTGAGAGACGTGTGGAGGCTACATTTCCCTGAGCATACTTCAAAGGCATTTCTCTGGGATGTAAAGGCCAGGCTGAGCCTTCTAGGCTGCCCTCCACAGAGCTGATGACTAGAATGCTTCTCTTGAGTACTCTTCTCACTGGGGGTTATCTCAGCACCGAGTCAGAGGGTGGGTTTAATGAAGGCTGAACTGCCAGGAGCTGTGCTTTTAGTGCACACTTCTTACTTGCTAGCTTTCCTGAGCTTTGGCAAAAACCTTACCTGCCGCGTTTGGTGCGTACATGGCACTTCCCTGCAGGAGATGGAGGTGGGAAAGGGGAAGCTGGGGAAGACTCAGTAACCATTCTTTATGCAAGAAAGCAGCCTAAACAAATTTTAAAGCCACAGTTAACCATTAACTGTTAATTATGGCTTTAATGCAGAGTAAAGGTGACTGTGATTATAGATGACCTGCGACCTGGTGTGTTGCTTACTGTAAATTGATGATTGTCTGCCTCATCTTTCTGAAGCATGAATTAATACAGCGAGTACCAACAGACTTCTCTCTGAACTTCAAAGCGAGTGTGTGCCTTGCTGGGTTTTGTGGCTGAGTTGCTGCCAACCTGCTGTTAAGGGAAGGAAACAAATATTGGAGTGGAGTCCTGGTTGGAGCACACTGTTCTTCTACCTGCAGGAGCAGCAAACGCTTTGAACACGATCCAGTTCTCTGCATCTTCAGGGCCGTGTGTTTTCCCTCCGCTTCTCCTTTGATTGTGTAGCCATTAGGTGGAAATGAAAGAGATGAACTGATCAAACACTCTTGAAATGGCTTTAGGGTTTCAGTTTGAATATTTTTTTTAATTAGCTCCATGTAAAGACTTTATTACTTCAAATAGCAGCCATGAAACCAGAAGACTCACAGTTTGATCCTTTGTTTTTATGGTGCACAAGAAGTCTCAGTAGCTGTAGGTTTTATACCCAGCTAGACACCCCAAACCACAACTAACAGCCACTGGAAGCATCAAGTGATTATCTTTTAAGTATGCCCATCAGGGATACATTAAAGGAAGTGCTGTGTGAGGATAATATCAGACTGACAAGAACCAGAGTAGAAGTCAGTTGCATTTTAACAGGAGCAAAGATGCTTTTCTCTAATAATGTGCAGAACACTACAGTGCATCAAGCATAATTTGTCTTTTTTTTTCTACTGTAGAAACCTTTCCTTCCTCGTTCTAGTTGCTAGAACTTCTTGCTGTGAACTGGAGAAATGATTTAAGTATTTCTACCTCTGATTAATTTTTGAAGAGAAGAGATCAGCTGAAGTGTCCTCAGTAGTTTTCCTTCTTTAGAAGCTTCCTCTCCCCCTTCTCCTGATCAGGGTAGGTATCAGAAGGTGCTGCTAGCCTGAAGCTGATTGGAATATCTTGTATTACAATGAACCTTGTTAACCCCTAGGTCTGGAAGGTTTGGTGGCCTGTTGAGTGTAACATGGGATTTTGTGAGTCTGGGTGAACCAGGACAGTGACTCTACAATGACTTGCTGCTGTGAATCCTGGTTTGTGCTAGGCTAGAGAAGTCTTTACGTGTGTGTTTCTGGCAATCTTTAAAGTTGTTTGACTGTTTTGTGCTTTTATTATCCCTCACTTTAAATTGGGGGCAGCCCTTGAGAAAGGCACATTGTCCTGATTCAGACTCGGTTTTCTACAGGGTGGCAGTTGAGTCACCGTTTTGTTTTTTTTTTTTTTTTTTTTGTGGCTCTGAGCACAGACTGACTAAAACCTGGTGCTTCACGGTCATTGGGGGAGGATGAGTAATGTGGTTGACCCCATAGCTGACCCTGCTCTGAGCAGGAGGTAGGACTAGAGACCTACTGATGTATCTTGCAGCCCTAATTATCCTGTGATCCTGTGGTGCCATTCAAGGATACAAAAATGAATGAGGTGTGGATTTTGAGCATCATGTGATGCTTCATCTCCTCATCCTCTAGTCTGTAAAGCATCTGTTTTCCTCACAAATACCACTTTTTTTTTTTTTGCTTTCTGGTTAGCAGAGTGTAAATGGATATCCTCTAAGGAGCAGGCTTCCCTGTTTTGCTGCTGGTAATTTGACTTGCGTTTGCAGAGATGGCCCCTGTAGGCAAGCCTGCTGGCCAAGCTGTAGTGGCCTTGGCTGCTGAAGGACTATCAAAAATGGGTTTGGGCTCCTGGTATTCTTGAGCTGAGAGGAGAGAGATCTTTTGAACATACCTCCTTTGATCCTCAGAACTTCTGTAGGAGACAGATAATGAGTTATCTTGTGGAAAGGTTTCCAAGGATTTATCTGATTCTTTTTTTTTTTCCTTCTGCTGTTCATCGTATGGATAACGGAGGGAGGAGGCTGACTCTTCAGCAGTGTTTCAGTACCATGTGCACTCTAACAAGTCAGGGAAATTCCCTCTGTATCAGTATTCCTCCAGGAGTTTCTCAGGTGTCAGTTGCAGCAATGTCATGAGGAGGCACATTAGAAAGCAGTGTGAATGTGTGCTGAGTGTCTTTTATCCTGGGTGCTTAAAGGCTTTGGGGACAAGAGAGAGGTCCACGTTGCACTCGCATGTACTGCAGCTCCACCACAAATTTGTAGTGTGTGGCCAGCACTTGAAAACCAACTCAAACAGCTTGCGAGGGCCAGGGAGGAGAAGGTGCCGGTTATTCTGCAGGTGGAGGGGCAGAGGGAAAAGCATGACTGGGAGAGGCACCAAAGGAGCAGGCGAGCTTTTGGCAGCAAGGTCAGTGTAGCCATGTAGAAGGTGAGGCAGGTGATCCAAGACAGGGTTGGAAAAGCATGAGTGATGGGTAGCATGGGTCACCCTGTACCAGAAGGAAGGTTGCCTGAAGGGCCTTCTCAGGGTTTCTCTGAGGTGAACTTCCTAGTTTTGAGTTCTTAGAATTTTAGAACAGCTAGAGTTGGAAGGGACTTTAAAAATCACCTAGTGGAACCCCCCTGCCCTGGGCATGGACACTTCCCACCAGACCAGGTTGCTCAAAGCCCCATCCAGCCTGGCCTTGAACCCCTCCAGGGATGGGGCAGCCACAGCTTCTCTGGGCAACCTGGGCCAGGGTCTCGCCACCCTCACAGAAAAGAATTTCTTCCAAGTATCTCATCTAAATCTCCTCTCTTTCAGTTTAAAACTGTTCCCCCTCATACTATGGCTCCCCTCCCTGATCAAAAGTCCCTCCCCAGCTTTCCTGGAGCCCCTTCAGGGACTGGAAGGGGCTCTAAGGTCTCCCTGGAGCCTTCTCCAGGCTGAACTCTCCTTCCCCACCCCAGCTCTCACAGCAGAGGGGCTCCAGCCCTCACAGTATCTCTATGGCATCCTCTGGCCGCACTCCAACGGGTCCACGTCCTTCTGATGTTGGTGGCCCCAGAGCTGGAGGCAGCACTGCTGGGGGGGTCTCCCCAGAGCAGAGGGGCAGAATCCCCCCTTCATCCTGCTGGCCATGCTGCTGGGGATGCAGCCCAGGATGTGGGGGGCTTTCTGGGCTGCCAGTGCACATTGCCAGGTTGTGTTGAGCTCATCCACCAACACCCCCAAGTCCTTCTCCTCAGGGCTGCTCTCCATCCATTTGTGCTTGGAGTTGCCCCAACCCACATGCAGAACCTTGTGCTTGTCCTGGTTGAACTTCATGAGGTTGGCATGGTCCCACCTGTCCATCCTGTCCAGGTCCCTCTGGATGGCGTCCTTTCTCTCAGCTTGTCAACCACTCCACACAGCTTTGTGTTACGGGCAAACTTTCTGAGGGTGCTCTCGATCCCTCTGTCCATGTCACTGACAAAGATGTTAAACAGCACTGGTCCCACTACTGACTCCTGAGGAACACCACTCATCACGCGGTTTCCTCCAAGTCCTGTGTGAGAAAGTTGAATGAATTTATGGGGATTTCACGGCGCCTGTTCCACTTGTGCAGATCCACAGGATTCTGGGTGTTTCTTTCAGAGCCGCTGTAGATGTGTGTCAGTAATGATTGACCATTTAATGCTAAAATGGAATAAAATGTACAGGTGATCTCTGTGGGACACTGACTGTGGTATTTTGTTATCCTAGGACCTCGCCAGCTGACAAAAGGAGCGGATCTTGGACAGGAGGGAGACCCACCTCTGGGCACACGGAGATCTCGGCATGTTTTGGGAAAAGGGGCAAGAGCACTGTCTGGTTTTGAGAGCGTGAAGTGGAAGTTCTGTGGTTATACACAACCTGATTTTCTTGAAGTTGGTTTTGTTTGCCATTTTGTGAGGCTGTTTCCAGAAAAACCAAATCCTGCTGTAGGAGAGGAACGTATTCCCTCTCTTTTCCCCTGCCTACACTTTTAAAACAACAACAAAAAAACCCTTTCTTGACACCCTTCCTCTTGCAGATTCTGGGCTGCTTTTAGGGAATCTGTAAGTGGCAGCAGGACACTGTGAAGTTTTGTATTGTTTATACAGGTTGTTCTTTAAAAAAATTATGCTTGATATTTTTGTTCTGAGAAAATAAACCAACCTGAGAACTAGTGCTGGCAGGACTTGTGCCAATTTATTGTGCAAGAGTCTTCAGTGTACGGAGCTGGAATTTAGAAATAGGGTCTGGTTTGTTGCTCTGTAGCTAGCTCCCTTCTTGGGCAACAAGCATGTTGTGCTCTTTGCTTTGGCTGAACATTCCTGTGAGTGTTGATACTCAATTTCAAATTAAGAATAGCGGCTTTATCCCCTACAAATATTGCTGACTCCTCTAGCTTTGATCAAGTTGGTTTCCTTTTGGAGCAAAATCCGTTGTGCACTGCCCTTGTCTCTCTGAACATGCACCTTCCTGCTGGGGCTGGGATTTATTAAATGCACAATCAAGTGCTTCTAAGTGAGATGGTGGCAGGTAGATACAAAACTAGCAAGAAGCCATGGAGGAGGAACCTGGTAACATGAAACAATGTTTTCGTGGTATTTGTCCTGCCCCTGTTTGACTAGGATGGATGTCTTCTCAACATGATTCAGTGCCTTGTTGTTGACTTGCTGGGCAGGGAGGGTTGCCTGTGGTCACTCTGTGATCCAAGGCGGCCCCTTGCCAGGAGAGAAATGTCTGAAGCGTTCTTGTTCTGCCACTGTCTTTATGGTTTTTGGATTCCTTACCACCACACTCTGACAGCGTCTTAAAATAAAATGCCCTCTTGGTAGGATGTCCCAAAGAGGAGGGTGGGGGGAGGTTAGGAAAGCTTTGGGTTGGCAGCACCTTGCAAGCACACTTCTGGACCCCGCTGCTTGTTCTGGGCGTCTGTGTTGTTGGATAAAGTACAGCTTGGTCCCCGAGGGGAGGTCAAATCCTGCTGTGCTGCTTGGTTTGAAGAAGAGAGACCTAAAGGGCATGCAGGGTTTGGGTTTTGTCGTCTGTCCCCTAAGAATAATCCAGTGATTAGGTTTTTCTGAGATTTGCTTCTTTTTTTTTTTTTCAGAAGATTCCACAAGACTTCTTGATGATCCGAAAGGAAGAAATTGAATTATATCCTACTAAATCTCTTAATCATACACTGTGAGGCTTTGTTCTGATGAATAGCATGCAGTGATAATACACACTTGAAATGTACATGTTGTGTGGAAAGTTGTTGGTGAGACTTTCACCTGGCCTGGGCCAGAAACTCAAATTGCTGGCTCTGATTTAAAGATCCTAAGCCTGGGCTGCTTGGGCTTGGACTCTCACAGCCATCGCTGCCAGGACTTCCCAGCTGTCCCCCTGTCCCAGGTGGCTCTGTCCTGTCTGCTTAACGCTGCTCCCTTCCAGGGGGGTGTTAAAACTGTCCCCCCAGCGGGGCTGGCAGCAAGGGGAGGGGGGTGTCCATCGGGTCCTGTTTCCTGGGCTAACACTAGATGGCAATACCTCCCTCGCAGTGCTGTGCTGAAGGCAAGGGGATCAGGGGGTTGTTTCTGATAGGCTTTAAATCTGGCTATTGGTCTTTTTCTGCACAAATAGTTACAATAATTTGCTGTGATCGGAAGAGGATACCTCTTCCTTACAAGAAGCGGAGAACTTCTCAGCAGAATCCTGACTGCTGGGATAAGATAGGTCTGAAGACATAAACATGGTTGAGTTTTCCAGTAGGAGACAGCTGTGCCTCTCGTGGAGGCTCTGCTCTGATGTGGGGCGAGCTGGCATTTCTCTGGCAGCCTTTGGGTGCTTGGTTGAGCCAGCACGGGCAGCTGGGTCTGCGGATGGAAACTTGGCACATCCCTGTCTGTCGATGACCTTGCAAAGGCTTTCCAAGCTGTAGGGATGAAACTCATTGTGGAAGGCTAAATCTGAAACGTAGAAATGCACATTGGTGGGGTGGCTCACTGTGGCAGCGTAAGGAGCTTTGTGAACCTCTGGAAGGTCTGCTCCTGCTGACAGTGGTGCAGGCTGCAGAACGGCAACTGCGCTCCCCTCAGCCCTCACCCAGCCCCAGCCAGTGACTTATATTTGACCTAGAGGCTGTCTCCAGGTTGATGGCCAGTTTACTGCTGTGTGAGAGACTTCCTGTGGTTAATTAGACTTTGCTCATGTGCATTTTTCAATTTTTCTTTACCAGATAATGGTGAAAAATTACTTTCCTGATTTTTCTTTTTTTTTTTTTAATTTAAGAATGAAATGCAAATTTTTCAGCCTATGGGTAAAATCAAAGATGTGTTTGGACCTTGACTTGGCATTAAAAGAGAAATACAAGTCCTTGAGCAAAACAGACAAAAAACTCTACAGGGAACTTCACTTTCTGATTGTTAATCAGAAAAATGTGAACCTTTGAGAAGTCTGCTACTGGAATATTTTTTTTTGGCCAAAATGCTGCTTCTTCATCCCCCTCCCCCTCCATTAAATAGTTTGACAAACATCTTCAGCGTGTTCCCTGGAGAAACTGTTCCGAAGGTTGGTTACAGTTCAGAAGTGGTCTTGTATTTCCACTTTGGGTTTATCAAATGTCAACTTGCAGCTCCTGAGCTTTCTGACCGTTTGCTCAATTAAAGTATTATCTGCTATCATGTGATGTTTTCCTGGCATCAGTGTTTAAGCAAGAACCTGAGATGTTATGTACCCTCAACCCATCCCTTCACCTCCTTGGGCTGCAGGACAATGATAAATTCTGTGTGAAGTGTGAATCGTAACCCCATGTGTCACCTGCTTGTTTCCCCCTTTGCATCTCTCCTCCATCCTGGTGAGCCCCCAAGGGACATGGCACAGGAGAACCCTGTTGGATGGCTGTCCACTCCAGTGGCAGCTGACACAGGAACCCTGGAGAGCATTGATGAGTGCTGATGGGCTGTATGGGCATGTCGTGGGCTGTACTCCTGGGGGGGAGGGCAGGCTGATGTTGCTGGCAGGTAACCAAAACGTGGGATGGTAGAGCTAAAGATGGGACAAGATGTCCAGGGCACATGGGAACCCCACAGCGAGGATAGGGATGCTGGAAGGTGCTCCAAGTTTTGACACCTCCAGTTACTGTCTGATCTCAGCCCTGGGGACTGGCTGTGGGTCTCCTCCCCCAGCAAGGGCTGTTGAGGTGGGGGATGCGGCTTCCCCTTCCCCCAACCTCCATGGGATGCGTGGGGCAGCCAAGCCGGGGCAGGGGACTCGTGCCTTTTTGTTTTGATGGCTGGCTCTGAAAGTCAGCAGAGCGGAAACTCCTCGGTGCCGTCAGCCCTGGCTGAGCCCAACTGGGCACAAACACACCGGCTCGGGCGTGCTCCGCTCCCCTGGCCCCTCGTTTGTGTTGGCACAGGCCAGCGAACGAAGCCAGTTTAATTGGCAGTTGTGTTTGTGGCTGGGGTGTTATGAAAAGGTTTTCTGTCTCCCTCTGTAAGTTACCCTGAATATGTTTTCACTCTTAATATAATATTCACTTCATTATTAGCTGAAAGAGGCTCTTTTCAGAGAGGGTTGGTGGTTTTTTTTTTTTTTTCCCTCTTCCAAAAATATATTAAACAGCCCCTTCATGCAGCGCTGGGCTGAGGGCAGGGATTGTCTGCTGGAGGGGAAGTGAAAAACCCCACGGTAAATGGGATTTACACAGAAATTCCTTTCTTCCCCAGCGTGTCAGTGGCCTGGCAGTGCCCAGCTGAGCAGCAGCGGGTGATGGAGGAGGCATCCATTGCTGAAAGGGTAACTGAGGGTATACTCGCCTTCCTTGCAGTGTGGTCACCAAGGGGGTTTCCCCCCGTGGCAGAGCAGAGGCTCCCCCAGGCCTCCTGGCACCCTGCGCTGGCGTTTCCAGAGGCAAACCCACCCAGCGGAGTCAGGGAGTCTAGCCTGGGCCGCGCTGGCTGCTCGGCTCCTGCCAACATCCAGTAATGAAGGTGTTTTCAGCATCTGCAAGGTTTTGGGAGCTTGTACTCTGTTGGGTGGGTTTGGGGGCATCAGGTGCAGCCAAACCCTCACCTTGTCATCTTGCTGTGCCATTTCTCTTCTGAGCTTTGCAAAATTCCATAAGGTTTTGTCTCCAGCTTTGGGAAAAACCCTGTGAGCTGCAGGAGCAGAGAGCTGCTTCTGGGGATAGTCTCACACATAGAGCATCCAGCCTGGCTCAGCCTTTGCGCTCCTGGGGAAACAGCTCTGCTTCACTCTGAGGAGCATTACAGCCTGGGCAAACCTTCTTTTTGGTTGTCTGACGTATTTGGGTTTTGCACGGCTGCAGCCTCTGAGCCATGTATGCGCGTGGGGTGGCAGGAAGCAGCCATGCAGCCCCTGGTGTCCTTGCTCAGACATCCTCTGGGTCAGGCTGCCCCTGGGCTTGTGTCGTCCCCACAGCCCTGCCTCCAGGAGCTGCTGGTTTTGGGGCTGCCCAAAGGCAGCTGGTCACAGCATGGGGCTGACTGGCTTGGCTAGGGCAGAAGGGACTCCTGGGCTGGCACTTGTGCTGCTGCTGAGGGGTGCTGAGGTCCCTTGGGACCCTCAGTTCCCCGCTCCATCCCTCAACGAGCTGCCATGAAATCCCAGAGGAGCTCGGAGCACATCTTCCTTTTCCCTGAAAGCAATGTAAATACAAATTCCTCCCTCAGCAAGGCAGGTGGTGGTGGTGGGACACCTTCCCCCTGCTCCACTGCCATTATTCCTCGCCGTCCTGTGAAACACATTAGGGCTGGTGCCATGTGCTGATGAGTATTCAAGACCTGGCCCTAATTGGGAACAATTAGCAGTTGTTTCAGAACGAACATTTCAAAACTTCTGTTTGCTGTGGCTCCCCGGGGTCAAGTGCTGTCTGATGGCTGACACAAGCATCACCATCTGGAGTGGGGACAGCAGCCAAGGGGATGCTCCCTATGGATGATGCAGCTCTCAGTTAAAGATCCTCTTGGGAGGAGTCTGGCTTGTGCAAGTCTGAGTCCCCCAATCCCCTCAGCTGGCCCTGGTTTCCCTCTCCAGTGTGGTGTCTGTCCCCACAGCAGATTCCAGCAGGTCCCTGCTCCATGGCTTGCTCAGGTCAGGCTGTCAAGGGAGGCCATGGAAACACTGGTGAAGCTGGATCTGGCTGATGCCCGCCGGAGCCTTGGCTCCTCTTCT